CAAAAACAACAAGCTTAAAGAATTCTACTTCAAACTGCTCCACATGAATTGTGGTGACTAAAAAAGAGCTTTCCTTCCATGGTATAGAATCAGACATGTTGTGTCTATTACGCCAAGAACCCGACTCAATAAGCAACACTTTTCTAAACGGCAATTGGTCAAAACAATTTTTCTCTGAAGTCATCAAATGGCACAACAAAGAAAGTGGCACCTCCTTCCCGCCATCTCCACTTGAAATACTGTTTGGTTTAGAGGCTAAGAATTATCCTCAAGTCGCTAATAGGTCGTTACTAAAATTTAATTTTACACTGTTATTTGCCAAGTATTATTTATATACACAGAAACTACTTAAAGAGGAATTAAATATCACAAAATAATTCATTAGAAAGTTCACTTCCAAACTTCAAACCGAAAAGTTATCTTCAATTGCTAAGAATACTGCTATACGGCCCTCCTTCCACCCTTGTCCCCCTTGAAATCAACACGGTAGGTGTTATGATATGCGCTAAACAAACTAGAGCATCCTTCTTTGTTGCCCTTATTAAAGCATATCTTCAAAATGCGGTTTAAGTTAATTAATATATAGTACCGGTTTCGGCTAAAGTGCAAGAAATTAGATAAGTACTATATTACTTTAAGTGTAAACACCGTTTATTTGTATTAGGAGGGCAACTGTATTGTAATTAGTGTAAGTGTAGGTTATTGTGATTCTATCATTGTTCTATCATCTGTTAGTGTGATGACGTCTTCTACATTCTAGTTGCTCTGTTTCTACATCCTGACGACACATGACCCTTTCCAAAACATCCCTGGCAAAGACTCTTGCTTCAAAGAAACTTGCTGCGGTCGTCTATAGACTTCTCCAGCGACTTGTTGCACTTTACGAGAGTGTGCTGACTGTTACAAAGGGAGGAGGTCTGATCTGTTTGATCAGCTGACGGTTTTGACGGTGGAACAAAATTGTTAGGTGGTTGCATGGATGATATCACGAAAGTGCTTGCGCTTGAACTACTGTCACCTTTGTTTTGTCTGACTTCTTTCTTTCTGCCTTTAAAGCATTCAGTGAGAAAATGCCTAGGGTCATTTGCTAGCTCTGCCTGATCTCTAACAAACTTCGCAAAACCTCCAAAGATGACAATCTTCTTAGATTTCGTACATGCTTCCTGGGCATGCTGGCACCAATTCACTCCAGAGTATGAAGGCAGTTTGCTGCTTACAAGGCGAATGGCTTCTGTCAAGTGGGTCTCCCATTGACCGCATGACTTTCATGGCTTCTCTACAATGAACGAGGAATCAGAAAACTCTTGGATACCACTACTGTCTCCGTCGTCAATCTTTGGCCAGCTGCTAAGACTTGACTTATAAGCCTCAGCGACACGGATGGGATTACCGAAGTCCTCGTCTAGCAGCTTCCGAGCCCTTTCATGTGAGATGTCTGAGCTCATGGCCAAGAAACCTTTCACTATTTCGTTTGCTTTGCCTTTCGTGTATTTGTTCAGGAGATAGAGTCGATCTCTGTCTGAAGGCACATTACGGGAGATAATGGAGTCAAAGGCAGTTGTGAAGGCTGGATATTCAAAATAATCTCCAGAGAAAACAGGTGGCTCTTTTACCGGGATGTGGCTGATCTTCTACTGATTGATTATTAATGAGCTTGATTTGGTTTGTTAGGCTTGTAGGCTGACTAACTCTTGAATGGCTGTGTTTACATCATTACGCTAGAATTGCGGCACAGGCTTTCAGCTCAAAGGTTCAAAATGAGGCATAGGTTGGCTTGTAGGAATGAATGGAGCACCATGCAGGTTGACACAACAGCTCCTCACCCTTGCTATATTTTCGTCACTTAAATCTGGTTTTAACTCCTTCTTGGCACTTCTGACTTCCTGTCTATTGCCCGCTGATATTTTCTCCTCCTTGAGAATTCTTTTTATTGCGCACTCTTCAGCGTTTGCGATAGCTAATTTCTTTGCGAGCTGTAATCGCCCTTATAGTTAACTCTCCTTCCTTTTGAAGAAATTCCATTTTAGCATGCAACTTTGCAGACTTCGCAGCCGCATCAAGTAAAGCGTGAAAAAGATGTTTTGCAGAGGAGGAACTCAATTTTGACCTGTCAGACGATTTGGACTTCCTACTGTGGCTCGATTTCTCAGACAGTGTCTGACTGGATTTTCTCTCAAGTGCCTGGATGCGTTCACGGACTCTACACTGTAATTCTACACTCGATGAATTCCCAATCCCAGATATCGAAACATTGATATGAAACATTCGTTTCTCCTTCTCTCCTAATTCTAACAAATTGTCAAAATCCTCATGCGCGTCATTGAACTCATCCTTCAACAGTTACTGGTCTAAGTGAAGTACTGTCTCTGGCAAATCAGGCAACACGTTTAATAGTTCTTTCAATCTGTTTCTTTACTGAATCTCTTAAAAGCAGAATTTCGATTGGCGAGTTTGATTTCCAGTTGATAATCCTTTCCGTTCTTAGTCATTTTTCTTCTACGTCCTGTTGTTGGGTAGACAAGTACACCACGGAAAGTCGATGGTTATTGGCAATTTGGCAGGTTGGATGACTTTTTACACACCATAATTGATTTTACTGACCAAGACCGTGACAAAATAAATTACCTCTCTTAAAGTATAATATCTCAAAAATACGTATTTAAAACTTTTACTAAACAAACAGTAGAATAAGCAGCTGCAACTACTTTAATCATAAAAATCACAATTTCCTTGATTGTGATTGGTTTAAAAAACTCCTATTTTCCCCTAATTCACTTGCCAAGTTGTTATCGGACAGTTCGTTATTGGACAGTTTGTTATTGGACAGTTCAATAAGCCAAACACATTCAAAGTTGTAGTTATGTGCGTGTGTGCGTGCGCTTGCTTTTGTGTTTTTGGCGCCTAATTGCCGGTAGGAGGCGTGGTGGCCTTAGAATGTTTNCCGAATTGGACTCCACTCAGTCCTATTACCATCACTTAAAAAGGCTATTATTAATTTCAATCAATTTGTGATCATTAAGTCAACATGATTATACCATTTGCACTACATAAATTATCAGAACTGCACATAACTCCACAAACCACATATTGTGATCTGAATAATTTGACATTGTCGATTGCAGTGCAGTGGCCTAAAGAATATAGTGAAGAGGACAATGCCCAGAGGAACTTTTTATCTACCCACCTGCCTACCCTAAACAGTGTAGCTTATAACTGCACTATGACTCTTGACAAGTAATTTCATCTGAAATTTTTCCCCCTAACATCAAAATGAAATACAATAATTTTTGCCTAAAGCAATCATAAGGACTGAATTTCCATCAAAACCAAAATTATATTGCATCCAAAATGATGGTGACCAGAAAACTAAAAACCACAAGGTCCATATTTGTGTCATTGTCACGTGACAAAAAATGTATGCAATACCTGCAAAAACTAAACTTGATATGAAACTGGCACAAACTAAATTCAACTATTATGAACTCATGTCAATGGTAGACAAAGTCATTCTAGTCGCGACAATAATTGCTGCAGTGCATAATAGGATACTATCTGAAGAAGCGATCTTCACTTTAACATTCATTTAGGGAGTCTATGCACCTTACCTAGACTAGCTCCTTGTACCTTCTGTTGCTGTTAGATTACATGTTAGTGTGGCAGAACTGATGATGCAAATGTAGAGGATGTCTTGATACTCTTGAAAACAACAAAATTAAATAATGTTTTCTTTAATTACAATACTACACTTTATGTACAATTATTCTACAAAACTTACATCGTTATCATTACTTGCAAATTACAAATAACAATCAACATTGCTTACAATACTAACAACATAACAACTTTGTTAAAAAGAATTAATTCTAAATAACGACGATATTACTAATAAGGACAACTAAACATAATACAACTAACAGATACAACACTACTACTGACAAAAGTAAATATGCAACAAAAACAAATGAGATAAGAAGGAAAGCAAAATATATAGGGCCATGAATACTAAATTAAAGCTGTTCAAATGATAAGGAGAACCTAAATATCATTCATACCATTAAATTGCCTGTTTAAACAAAAGTTCAAAGGAGATATCAGGGAGTTATAATGACTGGAGTATTTTGTACCCCTTCTGTTTAGTACCTTATACAATCATGTAAAAGAATGCCCTGAAACCTAATAGCGCAGCATTAATAATGAATCAGGAACTAAAAATGCGGCTTTTTCCCAGACATTACCTTTGTGCAAGCGAAGATAATATTTCTGAGTTTAATCAGGAAAATTTTCAATTTACATGAATTAAAGACACTTTCTTACTGACAATTTATGTTACTTAGTTAATTTCTTATTGTAACTAATCAGTGCTGCTTGTGTTTAGTTCGAAGCATTGTCAACAAAACATCAAAGACATCCTCGGAGACCCAGGGGTTGCTAGTCGGGACGACGCAATGTCTTCAGGCGAGCGATATTTTCGGGCGAAAGTTTACTTAAACTTTCGCCCGAAAATATTGCTTGCCCAAAAACATCGCATCGACGTTCTGACTAGCAGCCCCTGGGTCTCCGAGGATGCATCAAAGACTGACTAGCCTCGCTTTTATGCGACTCGTCCCGGCCGTATGAAGAGATGCGACCCTGTTGAAAACATTCATGATGAAATTATCAGTTATTCTCGTCGGAGAGACTGAGAACATTTAAAAAGAAAACGCCACTTCTTGTCCAATCACCAAAACAAGTAATTATTCCCATATTCATTCCTTTTCAAATTCATCATATATGGTCGATGGTATCATACAGTGTTTAGGATAACCTAAATTAACCCACACTCCTCTTGAAGTGCGGATTGAAGTCTAGCTACCATTTTCAGATTCAGACACAGTAATGTCCAGCTAAGGAGATGTGGGAAGGGAAACAATAACCGCTGTGCAGAAGAAATGAATGACCAAATAGAGCATCCTGTAAAAAAGCATACAAATTACATGTGCTAAAAGCAGCGTGCTAAATGAAATGCTGTGATTACATGGGAAGTCAAAGCAGGAGTTGAGCGCACTCAAAATCCCCCACGCCGGCAACCAACAAAATATGACAAAAAAAATATGACAAAAAAAGATAATCAACTAGATAATCAACTGGTAAAAGAGTTCTAATTTACTCTTGCTTTCTTGCATGTGATGCATGGCATCTCATGAGCGTACAGTTAGATAAAAGGCATGCCTGTTCAATTTACGCCCAAGGTTGTGAAAGCCAGTCTATGAACGAGGATTTCTTTAAAACCTACCGTACAACCCACGATCAAATTTTCACGGTTGACTTGTAGGGGTGAATCATGTTTAGAGCCAAATTAAAAAAAAAAAAAATCTGCAAGGTAGACTTCACAATCTCTTAGTTTGTGAAAAATCTAGTGCGTAAGTAACTAAGTAGAAGACTTTATTAAAGTGACTGACTCTTAGCTACATAGTAAGCTACTTTACAGGTCTAGTCTGTCCTACAGAGTTTTATTTTACTTTGCACGAATGTTTAATAAGAGCCAATTTCAATTCCTGAAATTTTAAGGTGGGGTCATATGGGTAGATTTTGAGAAAAATATCATTTACCGGTAACCTAAGTACCGTGCCCAGTCACTCCTTAGGTATTTGGTAGATCATTTTGGCCATTTGTTGACTTTTAAGGACATTCGTGCTAATTGTTTCTGTGCATCCTTACCGCGCACTTAAATTCACAAGCCGCGTCATGCATCAAGCGCATGCTAAGTCATAATAGCTTTACCTGGATTTAATGATCTTGGACCTTCGGCGACCCCTATTTTTCTTTTGATGGATCATTTTCTCTACCAATTTTCTACATTTAGCGAAAAAAATGAAGAAAATCTATTGATTAGAAGTTTGAATTTTTTGCAAAATGCACAATCGAATTCCGTTCTTTTTAGCTCTTCGTTTATCTGTGCAGTGGTTTCAAATGTCTCCGTTGATTCTTCTTTGATATTTAACGCTGAAAATCCTGGAGACCATGTCAAATTGTTCAGAAGGAAAAAAAGATATAGCTAGAAGAGTGCACAAAACCGTTACCCAGGGATGCGAATTGACCTCGAAAACAACGACTTGAGGAACATTTTGAGTCAATGTAGTTTGCAATTATGTGCTTCCTTCATAAATTATATATTACGTTGTTGAAAGTGCCCGACACTTTCTACCTATCAAGATATTTTTCAAGTATTGCTTTAAAGTGCAACTAACCCCCAATTTTTTTCCTTCAATGAAATCTACTAGTTTGCCCTATTATTTCAGCGAAAAAAATATCTCGGTTGATAAAATTCCCGCGATTCTACAGGCGTTTAAAGTTGTAATTTCTCGCCCCTTGACCGAGCATAGCGGGATCTGGGTCGGGCTTCTTGTGATGTCATCGAAGGACATTGCTCAAAACACTAAAGAGACGTTTGACTGGGTTTCGAGCGCTGTGAAAACATATTTGGGGTATTTGTGCTTCATATTTTATCAAAAATGGGCAAGACTGTTAAGTGAAAAAACTGTACCATCTAGCAGTACAATTCGGAGTCTAGCTACGATTAGCACGGCTACGATGTATATATATTTTTTCGATTTCTAAATGCGGGTCGCCAGTCGAGCCCGCCACACTGCAAGTCACTTTGCCGGCCCATTTGGCTAATCTACTAATCTACATACAATACTTCTTTAAGTACTCCTACCGAACCTTTGATTACGGAAGCCGTTAAGGGACAATCCCAAAATATTTACCAAATCCGAAAAAATATTTTTAAAATCCGAAAAAAATATTTCAAATCGTAATGTTTTTTTGCAAATCATCGTTGAAGAGTTTATCAAATCTCAAAAACTATTACAAATCTTGATAAAATTATTGAATCCACAAATATTATTTTGCAAATCCCAAACAAGTTTGCAAATCCAAGAATTGTCGCTAATCCAGAAATATTTTGCAAATCCGAAAAAATATTTTGTCACGTGTTACTTGCGCCAGCGGTCAGCCAGCGTCAGAGCTTGTTTCCCCCATTTTGCCGTATCCAAAATGGCGGGGGAGCGGGTGTGGGTAAAGAGTTGGTAATCGTTTATAACACGAAGTACGATGTTCCGCCATAAATGTGACAGAGAGATTGAGAGCAATGAAGTATTCTGTCGGCAGTGTGGAACAATAAAGAGACGTCAGCAGGAAAGTCTGTACAGTTCCGTTTGGAACTGGATCCTGGATCGCTGACTTTCCTTTTAAAACCGGCTTTGTTGTTTGGCTTGTTAAGCTTATATCCTCTGCGTTCTTCCGCTTTGGAGGCCAAGTATTGCGATAATGACTTCGTAGATGAAGAAGACGAAGCACGTTCATCTTCGGGTGTACTTATTCTTGCACTCGGATGTGATATCTCTGCACCTTTGGAACCACATTTGAAGGAAAATTTGTCTCCAGGGTTCACTTTAGATCCACACGAGACACAAAACTCCGCCATTTTGGATGCGGCAAAATGGCGGAAACAAACTCTGACGCTGGCTGACTGCTGGCGCAAGTAACACGTGACCAAATTTTTTTTTTTCGGATTTGCAACTATGGTATGTATGAACATAAACATTGATTGCGAGTTTCACAAATTTGCACTTTATGTACTAGTAATTAAAAATCCTTCCACAAGACCTTGAAAAAGGTTCAGTATGGTATCAGTTAAATGAATACATTTCTCATTCACATCTATCAACCTGAGTGTTGCGATTCCGTCCGCCTTAAGTTGTAATTGAGATATATTTTGTTGCTCAAAGAACAAAACAACTGCGTATGCAGACGAGCAACTCAAGCGCCTGTTGTCGGCCCTCACGCGTATGGTTGTATTAGTCCATGGGCCAGGACCCCCAAAAATAACATTTCGGTACCACTCAGGGGAAGTAATGCTGCCATATATTTTTGAAAACTGCAATTACTCTAGTTTCATATTATGTATGATAGCAATGCTAAATGAGTAGCTTAATAGGATTTATCACTTGACAAAGTGACGTCACTCATTTCTACAGAATCACCAGGATACAAGCAATAACTGCTTAAAAGTAGTATTTCCCTGCTTAATAACCATACTTAAAGGGTACGTTATATGTGCAATGATGGAAATTTCTGCCAGATGAGTTTTTTAACTACTTAGTTAAAACTTACATGAGCTTTAAGGATTTTGTTTCCATGGCAACGCTGAAAAAATTTACATTTCAACAAAAGAACTTTTAAGCATTTTTTAACCCTTTGAATACCAACTACGCATATATGCGTAATTAATGGTCGTGCTCTCTGTACCACTTGTGACGTCATCAATTTAAATGTCATCAGATATTCTTGATAGGCAGATAGTAATACTAGGCTAGGCCTTTCCGTACAATGGTGACGTTTAGATATCGACGACATTCCGACGCCGCAAATCGAAAAACGTTATTGGTTTTGGTGCGAAAACGGTGGTAAAATGGTCTACTATGCCAATGATTGATCAAGGTCCATTTCTAGGCTTCGCTCGTAATTAACATCCAATTTTTCACGGCAGCCAGAAAGAACATGCAACGCAAAAAGTAGCCTGAGTAAAAGGGCCGAGAAAAAAAGAAAACAAAGGGGCAACGAACAAACTGAGAACGGGTGATGCCAAAAAGAAAAAAATAATAATACGTCCAAAATTTGGCTTACGCGCATGCACGGAATTGAAATATTGCTCA